ACATTGAAGGGAAGAGAAACAAACCAACCCAACTAACCTGAGACCTTACATGACAATGGTATCTGTCAGTTCAGGACAAAAAGAATTGAAAGTAAGTATTGAATTCTAGCTCAAACATTTTTTTTTAAATGGTGAGTTAACAATCCTGAAAACACTTTCTATGTATCGCACATGACTAAATACACCAAGGACAGTGGAAGCCAGCTTCTCACTATAAGAAGGAGAATATAGTTATGAGAGGGAGACTATCAGAACGCATCCGCTAGGCGAAAATGCATGCATGGTATGTTTTAAAATATGGATTTAGATGTCTATATGGACCTACATGTGGTTTTTTTCCCCCCAGTCAAATGGAGAAGTCAAAAGCAGAGACATGCCGGTACCAATGAGCACCCCTAAGACCTGGGTCTAAATGCCACACTGCTTGAAAAGGAAGTAAGGGATCAGGAAGGGCTTGCTATGGCAGAAAGCAAGAAAATGCTCAAAAGTGGTGGAGATTTAGGGAAGGACATAGGAGTGTGGGGTGTGTTGCTCAGTGGTAGGGCTCTTGTCTAGCATGCATATGGTGGTGGTGGTGGGTCCCCAGAACTCTCTGATCAGTAAGTCTAGCCAATCAGTGAGCCGGTTCAGGGGAAGATCCTGTTTCAAAAGATAAGATGGAGTCTATACAGGAGGAAGATAACTGACCCCTACACACACACACACACACACACACACACACACACACACACACACACACATTATTGGGACAAATCACAAAATTTGATAATCAATTATGTATTAAGTCAAGCTTTCCTAGTTTTCTTTGTTCGTAGTGGTGTTAAAGTATCTCTGTCTCTGTCTCTCTCTTTTTTCACATTGTGTCCTGGTCCAAAGATATACCTAGGTGTAAACAACTCATGAAGTAGCTATACTCTAATAATTTAGTAGCCGCTCGAAAACTAACACATGAAAACTGCGGCAAGCCCTTTCTGAGGACTGCACGGTTCCGTTTTTGAAAATCACGACCTGAAAACTCCAATATGACATACGCGAGGGATGGGGCACCATCTACTGTCAGAACTGCAAACAGCACCAAAGCAGCATCTCTGCCATTTGTTTTCCTTTTGTGTTCATTTGGTTTGCCTTGAAATTTTAGAACCCTACAGACATCCCTCTGTGCATTCGCTGTGGGACTGTGGGGATCTCAGCGTAGTTTGAGAATCACGGGGGCCCCATGTTAATGCTGTTTAAAGGTTGTCTGGCCTGAATTTATAAAACCCTCTTACGTTTGTCCTGTGTGTGAGTGCCTGTGCCACAGCATCTGTGGGGAGGGCAGAGGACGGTGTGGGAATTGGTTCTCTCCTTCCAGCATATGGGTCCTGGGGATCGAATTCAGGGTGCCAGGTTTGGCAGCAGGCACTTTACCCACTTTGGCATCTTCTTGGCTATATTGCCTGATTTTGATACATGTATTATTGTAAGATAAAGTTTCTGCTCTTAGAAATACATATTGAAGTATTTATGGATTTAAGAATTTTTCAAATTAATTTCAAATGAGAAAAATGTGCATGCATATATGTACAAATAGAAAACACAACCTATATAGCAAATGGGTTGAGATGTTTAACAACTGATGGCTTTAGAAAGATCTAGAAGATTTGTTTTTGTGCTGCTCCTAAAACTTTTCATTAAATTATTTTAAAATAATTTTTATTTCTATTTATTTATTGTATTTTTGAGACAGGGTTTCTCTGTGTAGCCCTGTCTGTCCTGGATCTCGCTCTGTAGACCAGGCTGGCCTCGAACTCGCAGAGACCCATCTGCTTCTGCCTCCCGAGTGCTGGGATTAAAGGCATGCACCACCACCACCACCACCACCTGGCTCAAAACAATTTCAAAGATGAAATGCAACACTCAATCTGAAGCTACATAAAATGTGCATTTAAACATTTATAAGGTCTGGAAATTGGAAGCACTAATGCAGGTAGAGGAGGAGGTAAGGACTGGGAAAGACACACACATGGTGACAGTGATGCTTTACTTCATTATCTGGGTAGCAGATGCCCACGTATTCACTTTGTCCCCTTCCTTCCTTCCTTCCTTCCTTCCTTCCTTCCTTCCTTCCTTCCTTCCTTCCTTCCTTCTTCTTTCATTCATTCATTCATTCTTTCTTTCTTTCTTTCTTTCTTTTTTTTTCTCAGACAGGGTCTCACCATTTAGCTCTGGCTGTCCTGGAACTCTCTCTGTAGACCAAGCTGGCCTTGAACTCACAGAGATCCACTTGTCTCTGCTTCAAGTGCTGGGATTAAAGACATGTGCCACCACATCAGGTCTCATTCATTCTTTTTGGAGACAAGGCCTCACTATATATCCCTGACCAGTTAGGAACTTGACAGAGACCAGGCCAGTCTCAAACCCATGGGGATCTGCCTGCCTCAGGGTGTGAGCCACCATGCCCAATTCATTATTTCTTATATCTTTAGATAGGCCCCAATATTTCAAATTTACTCTTTAAAATGCACATTTAAAGGGCTGAGAAAATGGCTCAGTTGGGAGAGTGCTGGCATAGCACACACTAAGCCCTGGGTTCGGATCCCTGACACCACATAAAACCAGGTGTGGTGGCAATATCTGTCATCCTAAGGACTCAGGCAGGGAGGAAGGAAGTTCAAGGTCATCTTCAGCTGCATGAGTTCGAGGCTGGCCTGTGTTACATGAGACTATGTCTCAAAAAAAAAAAAAGAGTAGACTCTTCATTATTATATAAAACACAAGTGCATTTAAGCAGACAGTTACTGTTTGTTGAGAAATCCCCTGGCACAACGGCCTCCTGTGTCTGTAGATATTGTATCCCTGTATTGAACAATTTATAGATTGAAAATATTTAGGGGAAAAAAGATTGCATTTGTACTGAATGCAGACTTTTTTCTTGTTGATGGGGTATAACAATGATTTACACAGCATTTACATTGCATTAGTTCTTATCAATAATCTAGAGACAATTTAAAGTGTACGAGGGAACATGCCTACACTATATACAAGTGCTGTGACATTTACTTAAGGCACTGGAGATTCACAGATTTACGTACCCACAGGGGTCCTGAGCCTGGTTCCCCAAGTCATGCCTGTACTCATTCACCATCTCCTATGGACCTTCCCATGGCCACAGATTAAAAAGCATTTAATATTTTAAATTAAACATGCTTGAAAACTGATATCAAACAAGTACTGACAACTCTGGCCTTCACTGTGTCTTCCCGAACACGTTTTAAGATGTTCACAGCCTGTGGAGGCAGAAGCAAGGCCACCTTCACCTTTGTGATTCCTGAGAAATTGGCAGCCATCTTTCCCCAGGGCACCGGATAAATTTGTCAAGTTCTGTTTACATCTGTGGCTGAAATCATTGACTAAAACAATATTGTGTCTGTCAGACTGACTTTCATTCAAACAATTGCTTCCTGCATCTCTGAGAATAACAAGTTATCATCATAGAATTTAGGATTCTACCTTATCTTGTCAGCTAAGGGGAAAGAACAGGATGCTGTGTTAAGAGTGGATGTCAGTGGCCGTCAGAGGAGGAACCCGAAGAGATTTCAGGTACAACCCTACACCTTCACGGAGCTGAACAAAAACGTAAGAAGCATCCAGCCTGAGCTTTCCTCCGGAGGATGGGCCATTAGATCTATTAGAGAGGAGCAAACTAAAACCCCTGTCTTTGCTCCGAAGGGCAACTCTGTTTTTCAACAAGGAAAGAGTCTTGTCCAAGGTCCTTTTCCAGAACCAGGGTCGGACTCTCACTGCTCATCTCCTGACACCATTTTCTTAGGTGAGCAAAAGAAATCTTACAGGTAGGTGGCCCTCTGCCCTTGCAGGATGTCTGCAGAGTGAGCAACAGTCTGCTAAAAATAATCAGGAACAGGAGGGTAGTGTAGTGGAAGTCAACGATTATGTATTAAACATGTAGGTTTGTGTGTGTGTGTGTGTGTGTGTGTGTGTGTGTGTGTGTGTGTGTGTGTGATTATTCCCTAAAGGGCAACAATATAGAATGACAGCTATTTACATAACAATGGCATTTATATTGTAATAGCATTTGCCTTGTATTGGGTAGTCGGGCTGGCTAGTTTTATGTCAACTTGACACAAAATAAAGTCATCTGAGAGGAGGGAATCTCAATTAAGAAAATGTCTCCATGATATCAGATTGTAGGGCATTTTCTTAGTGATTGAAGGAGGAGGGCCCAGCCCATTGGTGGGTGGTGCCATCCCTGGGCTAGTGGTCCTGGGTTCTATAAGAAAGCAGTCTGAGCGAGGCAGAAGGAGCAAGCCAGTAAACAGAACTCTTCCATCACCTCTGCATCAGCTCCTGATGGTTTCTTCACAGCAATAGTAACCCAAAAACAGTAGTACAAGTAATGTAGACGTGACTTAAAGTAGGCTGAGGATGTGCATACGTTACATAAGGATCATATGGTTACCTAAAAATTATATATTTTTGTTTGTCTGAAACAAGATTGCACTCTATAGCCCCGCGGGCCTTGAACACGCAGAGATCTGCCTGCCTCTGCCTCCCGAGTGACACCCTGCTAATGACACCATCTCTGTGTGACTCGAATATCCGCAGAATCCACTGCGATCCTGGGATCAGTCCCCTGCAGAAACTGAGGGGTCACTGTATGGATGGAGAGGGGGAGGCAGCAGAGGCACCCATCGGCCAAGATTGCAGAAAAAAAAAAAAAAAAAAAAAGGCATGGCTCACTTAGAATTTTTGGCGTGGCTGGGCCTTACACCAAATTTCAGAAACTCCCCGTGACAGCCACATTTCTACCACGAAGCGCAGACCCACCCTGGGGACCATGCAAAGCAGCACGACCTCCTCGCAGGCGCGCTCGCGCCGCACTGGACCACCAAGGACGCCGACGCCGAGACCCCCCGTCCTCCCCGGGCCCCGCAGTGACGTCACGGCGCGCTGTCATCGCGAGACTCGGCTCGCCCGCCGCGGCTCGCCGCTTCCCAACCGCCCGCGTCCGTCCGCGGCCAGGCAGCGGTGGGGATGGCGAGCCGCGGAACCGGGGCGGTGACGAGCGCAGCGGCTCCGCCATTGGGCAAGGAGGCCTGAGGGACGGGCTGCCCGGCTGGGTGCAGCAGGGACACCGGACACGGCAGCCTCGGCAGGGCGAGGGCGATGGAGGCCAACGTGCCGCCGAAGCGGAAAGAGCCAGCCAAGTCCCTCCGCATCAAAGTCATCTCCATGGGCAACGCCGAAGTGGGGAAAGTGAGTAGCGCAGGCTGCGAGGGGGCGGGACCTCCGCGTGCCGGGAGAGACATGCCCATTGGCTGAGAGAGTGGCCACTCAACAGCCCGAAGCCCCGCCTCATCCCGGCTCCCGGAGCATCCCTGCGCTCACCAGGGGCTTGCGGCCTCGGGAGAACTATCTTGACCTTTTTGACCTTTGGGTTGCACGCTCTTTACTAACGTCACTGCCCTTAAGAAGGTGCCTGGGGTGGCCTCTGACCTTTGACTGTATTTTGAAGGGAGTAAGGAGGCCTAGGTCCCAAATGTGTAGCCTAGATACCAAAATTTGCTTTCCCAGAGAGGGAGGGGTCCAATACATGAAGGTGGGGAGAGTCGTTGCCTCCTAGTTGTGGCCTTTAAAGGGATGCCTGTGAGGTGGTGGATTCAGAAAAATGTCGCCAGGCAGAGCCTGCAAGTCCACGTTCCCATCACCAGAACATAACAACTTAATGTGTTCCAGGGGACGTGCATTGGCTGCCCAGCATCCTGCGTTGTTTTTGCGTTAAATTTCTCATACTGTCACCTCCATTTTCTCAGAGAAGCCTTTTTTTCCCCCCTACCGTCTTTCTGTGTGTTCTGTCTGCTGCATATTAGCTATTAAACTTCCTCTCAGATGGGCAGCGGTGACCTAGGGCTTTTCCCAAATGAATTGAGATGCCTATTCTTACTCAAGTTTTCTCCCTTAATGAGCGGAAGCTGTTGGTGAAGAATCCCAAGGTCAGCAAATCAGTGACGGAGAGGGGGTTAGAAGCGGTGTCTGTACTCTGGCAAATGCAGAAGACCTCCTAATGGGAATCTTTAAACCAGTGCGGTGCACTTAGATGTTCAGTGAATATTTAGTAGCGCTTTACAACTTAGCTTTCCCCCGACTACTTAGGTATCGTTGTGTATGTGTTAACAAAATGTTGGTTGAAATTTAACACGTATCGACTATTAACTATGTTCCCACTGTGTTTTAAGAGGCAAAGAGATTTGGGAATACAGTTCAGTTGGTGCTGTGCAAATGTGAAAAACACTATCTAGAACCTCTGCAAAAACCTGAGATAGTGGCACAGGCTTAGAGACCGGTGGACCCCTGGCAGCCATCGACCAACTAGCCCAGCCTAATCAGCAAGCCCCAGGTCCCAAATAGAAAGATGGATAGCCACTGAAGAATGACATCCGTACGCTTAATTAAAACTCCCTTTTCTGCCTAAATTTTGGCCTTCTGTGTAGATAAAAGTTGGACAGTTTTGGAAAATGTGCTTAATAGATTAAATAAAACGGGAACCATCATTTTTATTCACTACTATTTTTAAAAATATGCTGTCAAAATTAACATAATATATTAAAAGATACGAGGTCAATGATGAATGAGCATGTTAGGTGATTTCAGACCTTAGGACACTTTGAAAACTTGCATGGGGCTCTGGTATACATTGTCAATGCAAGAAGTTGAATAGAACACAAACAAGGGTACACTGAGAAATTTCAAGTTTCCCACATAGAAAGGAATAAGCTCTTGGGGTTGGGGGGTGAGCTGGTGTTAAAGCCCTTACTTGTAAGCCTGGTGACCTCATTCAGTCCCCAGAACTCATGGTAGAAGTAGAGAACCTTTTTTCCAAATTCCAAAAGTTGACTTCCCTCATGGGGCACATACATACAACATACACACACAGACAGACATGGGGCACATACATATAATACAGACAGACACACACACACACACAATCAAATTGGAGGGAAAAAGAAAAAAAATATTGGAAATAACCTTTTTCTTCCCCAAAGATTAAAAACCATAAAAATTCTTGAATGAAGAAAGCCTTAATGTGGGCTGGAGAGAGATAGTTCAGCTGTTAAAAGCACTTGCTGCTCTTGCAGAAGACCAGCATTCAGTTCCCAGCTCCTATGTCAGATGGGGCTCACACTGCCTGTATCTCAGCTCAAGGGGACCTAACTCCCTCTTCTGTATTCTGTTGCCACCTACATGTGTCTGCATCCACAGACATCCACATACATGCATAATTACAAATAAAGTTTAAATTTAAAGCAAAAGCCTTCATGTGATATAACTCACAAAGAAATCACTTATTTGAAACATACAATTCACTGATTTTCAGTTCATTCACAGAGTTGTGAAACCATTACTATGATCAATTATAGAACAATTTCATCATCCCCTGAAGAAAAAACAACAATGTAGCAATTAGCAGGCTCTCCCCGTGTCCCCTAACCATTAACCCACTTCCTGCCCCGGTGGGTTTGCCTATTCTGGCTATTTCGTATCAGTGGAGTCCCGTGTGTTCTTTCACTGCAGACTTCTTTTACTTAGTATAACTCGTGTAAGGTGAATCTTTGTTGTGCTGTCTATCAGTATGTTCTTCATATCGTAAAAGTATAGTCTATCACATGGATGTAATACATTTTATTCATCCATCTGGGTTGTTTTTGGTTTTGGATACTGGTAGTAAGGATAATGATGATACAGACTTAGACTTGGGCCTTGAATCAAATATGACTTTAATCATTTGGCCCTTTGTCACTGGGAAAATGATGGCCTGATTAACAGAGCTAGATGTCAGCAAGACAGGCTCATTTGGAGACATGTTGAATTAGATGATGGCAGGATATGTGAGTAGAAACCATCTAGTAGATGCTTAGACATGTGGCTCTGGTCCTGGGAGGGAGTCAAGGCTGGATGTGGATGTTTTCGTGGTGTTGGAAGTAGAAGGATGGAAAAGATCTGCTGAAGAAAAGAGCACAGTGATTGGGAATAAAACTGAAAACATCCAGATTTAGTTTGAAGGTAAGAATTCAATTTTTTTTTCTTTAAAATCTTCACTTGTGGCCTGGTTGTTGGCTCATGCCTTTAATCCCAGCACTAGGGAGGCAGAGGCGCGAGGCAGCCTGATCCTCATAGCGAGTTCCAGGCCAGCCAGGAGTGAGACCTTCTCAAAACAAAACACAAATAAAACCCTCATTTTTTAAAAATACTTATTTCAGATGCTTTTTTTTTTTTTTTAGTTTTCCAGAGCTGAGGACCGAACCCAGGTCCTTGTGCTTGCTAGGCAAGCACTCTACCACTGAGCTAAATCCCCAACCCCCTTTTTTTTCTTTTGTCTTTGGGGGGATTTGTTTTATTTTTGAGACAGGGTCTCGTGGTGGAGGCTGGCCTCGATCCCTTGATTGTTCTGTTTCTCTTTCTCAAGTGCTGGAGTTACAGGCACCCACCGCCATGTCAGCTAGCATTTGAAAACACTTTGATTTCCAGTGAGGTGACTGAAGAAAGCCCAGTGAAGGAATGTGTTACCTCACACATCTTTCCAGTGTGTATTACCAAGTGCACGCGTTCTTGTCTTTCTAGAGCTGCATTATAAAGCGCTACTGTGAGAAGAGGTTTGTGTCCAAATACCTGGCGACAATCGGAATTGACTATGGAGTCACCAAGTGAGTATGTTCCTCTGGCCTGTGCATGACACAGATCCTCAGTGTGTCCTGAGAGAGTCTGTGTCTACATCAGAGCATGTGCATGGATGGCACTGAAAGGGAGGCTTTGAAGATAAATTGGAAAAGACAGGGCTAAGGGACTTCTTCAGGTATGTGGTGCCATCTTTTCAGCCAGCCAGTATATTAGGAACCTGCCAGTCCAGACCTGGTTGTAGATGTGGGCTTGGCAGCGATGAACAAGCACAAGCCTCGCTGGCAGATGGGGCTTCTCAGGACAGATTTCTATGTACGTGGGTCCTGCCAGCAAGTGGGTTTTAAGGCTGTTTTGTCTTTTGTTGGTTTGTGATCTTGATAGCTTGTTGGAATCCAGCAGATCTGAGAATAATGAAGTTGGGGGTAAGTGGGGATTTATTTGGAGGTGAATCGAGAATGGTTGGAAGGAGGATTAAAACAACAAGAGAAATGCCCCCGAAGAGTAGAGTTGGGGTAAAGAGCACATTTCTTAAACGTGGGACTGCAGCTGACTGTAGAGTGCTTGTGTTATTTGTACGTTTACTATCCCTGACTTGGAGAAAGGGATATTCTTTTTTTTGCTACTATCTTTATGTATTCTTCGAAAGTTTTATACATTTGTATAATGTATTTTGATCATATCATTCACCATTACCTCCGCATGTGCATGGGTGTGAGGCCATCCACTAGCACGGGCAACCACCGGTGGCCACGTTCTCAAAAGATACTCCCCTTCCCTCAGCAGCCACCGGCTGCCAGTCGCTCTTCTGCCAAGGGTGGGACCCAGAGGTGCTCGATCTGGAATTTTGACTGGCTTGATCTGGTCTTGTCCAGGTGACCCCAGGGTCTGTGAGCTGATCTGTCATGTCATAACCAAAGTCAGCATTTCCCGTCTTTGTTCCCCTACCCGCCAGCTCTGACATTCTTTCTGCCGCCTCTTGCCTGATGCTCCCTGGACTGGCTCAGTCGAGGCTGATGCAGACAATTTATCCATAAGGAAGCATTCATAGTTACTTCTACTTGGCACTTTGACTGATTAGGCATTTCTGTATTACCCATCACAAGAAGCTTCTCTGACCAAAGCTGAGAACAACACAAGTCTGTGGGTCTAAAATAAATATTGAGAAGGCAGTTTGACATCATGATCATTGAGCAAAACAGCAGTGTTCCCTCTCATCTGTCATGTCCCAGCCATGGCTTTTGACCAGGTTTACAGCATCAGGCATGAAAGCTGTCCTGTAGAACCGGCCTCGTAGCTAATCAAAGTGGTTGGTTCGTTACCCTCAGAACTGCCATGCCACTGTTACACCAGCCAGGTTGATATTGTAGCCTGGAGGGTCCACCACTGGGGGAGATCATGATCTCTTCTCTCCCCCAGCAACCTGCAGAGCATCTTCTGGTACTTTGTAAGCTAGCCAGGAGGGAGGGAGTTTCCTGGTCGGTCAGGTTGATTTTTTTTTTAAATGCCCTTCCTCCAAAGTGAGTGCTATAAAAGGGATTTTTGTATGTTTCCTCCAAGTACCTGGCACAGTGTTTCTCCCTGGTGACTGCGCGATAAATACTGTTAGATAGATACTCTTTTTTTTTTTTTTTTTTCGGTTTTTCGAGACAGGGTTTCTCTGTGTAGCTTTGCGCCTTTCCTGGAACTCACTTGGTAGCCCAGGCTGGCCTCGAACTCACAGAGATCCGCCTGGCTCTGCCTCCCGAGTGCTGGGATTAAAGGCGTGCGCCACCACCGCCCGGCAGATAGATACTCTTAAAGGTGAAAATTTTCCATATCAGAATATGAAGGCAATATTCAAGGAGGTCGATAAAATTGGTGAGGTGTATCTATCACAGAATGTCAGTTGTCTGAAGGGCAAGGTCAGGTTTATGTATGTCCCTTCCAGACTGTATTTAAGTAGTTCAGGTCAGTGGTGAAGTAGAACCCAAGAGTTCTATGTAAATTCTATGGCCATTTGTCAGCTGAGAGCAGCACAAGGTGTTTTTATACATTCTCTCTAAAGTGTGGAGTCTGTAGCTCTTGACTGTGAAAGTTAGGAAGCTTGCTCTTCATTTGAATCCATATTTCTTTCTACTTTTTCTACTTCAGAGCATGGAGTTCATCAGTGATGTGGTGGGACAGCCTATTTAAGACACCTTCATTCAGAATCCATATCAGTACCTAGTTTATCTAAAAATGGAAATTGCTGTATGAGCCAAAGAATTGTGACTTATTTATTTGTTTGTTTATTTATTTATTTTGAGACAGGATGCATTGGGTTACACAATAGACTATTCTGTTCGTTACTATTTTTTAAGATGATTATTCTGTGATGAGTATTGCTAAAATTCCTTCCCAGGGGAGACACAAGTAATGTTTACCCCTCCTCCCAAGGTCTCAATGACAAAGCAAGACGAGACTCCACCTAGGGAACCAATGAGTTTCTTTGGCTTCCAGAGCGTAGGTGAGGGGTTACCCATGGTGTGGGTGCTCCTCTCCCAAAAGGTTGCCCCGGAAAGTCTTTACCAGCTGAGATAAGGGCTTCCCCATAGCTGCATAGATGGCACCCCTTCCTCCCCCCCTCCCGTGTTTCCCAGCCTGTATACTCTACCCCTTCCCCAGGGCTGTCTGCAATTAAGGCAGAGTTACTTACTCAGGTGGTAGGGAGAAGCTGGATACTCCGGTGAGGGTCTTATGACCACCCCCAGGGGACATAAATAATCAGCAAGCTCAGTTGCGATCATCCTTTGGCAGGTGGGGGCAGCTTGTTGGTTCAGGGTTGTGGACTGAAGTATCTGAGGTGGAAGATGGGTCCTTAGTCAGGGCTCAGTGTTCTGAAGCAGGGAGGCAGGCTTGTCAGCCAGCTTGCCAGCTTCTGTTGTAAAGATTATCTGGAGTTAAGAAGAAGATGAAGAAAGCCTCTAGAAATGTGACTCTTTTTCCATTTGAATATTTCAGGGTCCAAGTCAGAGACAGAGAAATCAAAGTTAACATCTTCGACATGGCTGGACACCCCTTCTTCTATGAGGTAAGAAAGCCTTAGAGAACTGACATCCAGTCTCGGCATTGGAGACAGTGAGGAGGAATTCAAATCATGGGTAAAGTTTAGCTCATGTTAGTGACTTGCCTTCTGAGCTTCAATGTAGTGGATACTCCTTGATTGCTTACACAGACATGACTACATCCAAACTCTTGTCAAGTACATGATTGTATAGATTAAGAAAAACAAGTTCAGCCGGGCGGTGGTGGCACACGCCTTTAATCCCAGCACTCAGGAAGCAGAGACAGGTGGATCTCTGTGAGTTCAAGGAGTGGATATCAGGACAACCAGAGTTATGTAGAGAAACCCTGTCCTGAATCTCCCTCCCCCACCCCCCCCAAAAAAAGAGAAAACCCAACCCAACCCAACTCTGTAATCCCATTTCAATGAGGTTGAACTTTGGAGGGCATGGGGGTGGGGAAACAACCGAGGAGTTTTGAGTCATGGCTTTAAAAAGATAAATTCTATGGTGTGTCATGGTGCTGGAAGACAGTTTGGGAAACTGCAGCAGTCCAGCAGTATTGGGCTGTGTGTGGAAGGGAAGCGACAGGTGGAGAGGCACGCAGACAGGATCCAGACATGACCGTGACTCCGCTGCAGAGAGGCAGGCCAGCAGAGGTGCACACTGGGCCTTCCGCCTCATCACTGATGTCCCCCACATCAGAGTTCAGCGAGACATTCAGCTAAGCCCGGTGCTAGCTAGAAGACGAAGCTGCAGGGGAGCAGGCTGATCTTGGGGACTGTCACAGTTGAACCAATGCAGAAAGGAAGAGGGCCCAGGACAGGATTTGGGGAGGATTGAGAGTAGACAAAGGCAGAGAAGAGGAGTTGGTAGAAGATAATTTATATTTATTTCATTACAGCTAAATATTATATCTCTAACATATATATGTATATTCTATATGTATGTCTGTGTATCATGTGCTTGCCTGGTGCCCTCAGAGGTTGGAAGAGGCTGTTGAATCCCCTAGAGTTGGAGTTACGAATGTTGTAGACTGTATGTGGGTGATGGGAGTCAAACCTGTGTCCTCTGCAAGAACAGCAAGTGCCCTTGGCCCCCGAGCCATCTCTCGAGCTCTGGTAGAATATACTGTAAGAAGCTAGGAAGATGGGTAAGGTACTTGATGCACAAACATGAGGACCTGTTTGGATCCCCAGCACCCATATAAAAGCCAGGTGTGGTAGTATACATTGTTGACCCCAGAACTGGCCAGGACGGAGGCAGGAGGCCCAGGGACTCCCTCCCTATCCAATCTAACCAAAATGGCAAGCTGCAGGTTCAGTGAGAGCCTGTCTAAAAACTATGATGGAGAGTGATAGAGAAAGGTACCTGATGTCAACCTCTGGCCTCCACATGCACATGAACGTGTAAACACACCTGCACAAGCAAGTGCACCTGCACACAACACATACACACACACACACACACACACACACACACACACACACACACACACACAGAATGAATGAGAACCTGGAGGATGTAATATGTGGAAATCAAGGCTTCAGAGCTCTAGCACAGTAGGGGAGAGTTGTCACCTTCGAGAAGGGCCAAGGATCACAAGCTCTGAGGGGAGAGACTGTAGGTCATGTCTCAGTCAGTGTTCTGTTGCTGTGAAGAGACACCAAGATCATGACAACTCTCATAAAGGAAAACATTTAATTGGGGCTAGCTTACAGTTCAGAGGTTAAGTCCATTGTCAGTCATCATAGGAGGAAGCATGGCGGAGTGCAGGCAGACATGGTGCTGGAAAAGTAGCTGAGAGCTACATCCTGATCTGAAGCCTGCAAGAAGGGAGCGACTGAGCCTGGCTTGGACCTTTCAGATGTCAAAGCCTGCCCCCAGTGACACACTTCCTCCAACAAGACCACACCTACTTCAGCAAGGCCACACCTCCTAATCCCTCCCAAGTAGTGTCACTCCCTGATGATTCAGCATTCAAATATGTGGATGTATGGGGGCCATTCTTATTCAAACCACTGCAGTCATCATCTTAAACCCCTTCTGCATCTGCTGTTTCTAACTGTGGTGGACTGCTTCTTAGGTTTCTCTAAGGTAATCATAGAACCTTATATTCTTGGTCAGGGTTTCTGTCAATGCTCAGGAGCCCATGCCCAGTGTGAAAGATAAATGCCTCCACTACTCCTTCCCCTGGTTTTATTAGATAGCTCAGAGTAGCCCAAACTCACCACATAGCCTAAGCTGGCCTTAACCTCACAATCACTATCTCAGCCTCCTGAGCGCTGCTATAACAGGCATTTCTACCATCCCCTGCTTCTTGACTTCTGAATCCTTAGCTAGAGTGAGTCAGAGTGCATTCGGGGATCTTGTGAAAAGAACAGAGCTGTGTTCTCTGCCAGGTTCCTACCAGAATTCCAGCCCACCCAACGTCTCACTGCCTCGACCACTTGAGTTCACCCTCTTCTTCTTGTCAACTCTTTTGAGAGCTGCAGCCATGTCCCAGAGGCAAGTTGCCATTTCTGATGAATTATCTCAGGACAGTCAGACAGAATGCAAGGAAGAAAGGGAGAGGAGCTTGTATGTGTGGTTTTCCAGGCGCCATGCTAAGTGTGATGCCTTCATGACCTCACCTAGTCCTAGGACTGTGACCCCCTTTTACAGACAGGAAGTACAGAGAGGTTGCGGGATTTGCCCAAGGTCACACGACTTCTAGTGGACATGAACCCAGAGCTGCCTGCCTCCACAGCTGTGTTCCTGACCGTCTGGTTACACTGGGCTCTGAGTTTGGGGGTTGAAAATTGGTGTATAGCCCTGGAGCAGTCTGGAAGCTCTGCCTGGAATGCTGGGTAAACTCTAGGGTATGATGTTTGTGTGGTGGCAGCATTGTTCATAATTGTGACTGTTTGCCTACCTTCCTGAGAAGATCTTGACAGGACCATCTTATGAGTCTACCAACAGCTGGAGAGTGCTGCCTCTGAGGAGCTGTGATCTGTGTTCTGCTAAAAAATTCTCCTGACCTGCAGATTCGTGTGTTTCATTTTGGTTTTATATAAAGTCCTCTAAAAGCCAGTAAATGCTGAGATATAATAATGAGTACTCCGAATATAAAAGAGGACACACTTGGTTAAGTTAATGGCTGTGAGGTGCATTCTTACAGAGATCACAGAGCCAACACCTTGTGCCTCTGTTTTCCATCTGAAGGTACGAAATGAATTTTACAAGGACACACAGGGTGTGATACTGGTCTATGACGTTGGACAGAAAGACTCGTTTGATGCCCTGGATTCATGGCTGGCAGAAATGAAGCAGGAACTTGGGTCTCACGGGAACATGGACAATATTGTCTTTGTTGTATGTGCCAACAAGGTAACTGCTTTGAATTGGTTTGCTAACACAACTGTGAGTTCGAGGATACGGAGAGGCGAGAGCTGGATGTGTAGCTTAGCCTGTAATTGCAGGACTCGGGAACTGTAGGCAGGAGGATGATGAACTGGAGGCCAACCTGAGCTATGTAGAGAGTTCAGGCCAACCTGGATGGCTTACTGAGACATCATGTTCAGTCTTCAAACATAGATGCACATGCACACTGGAGGAGGCGCTATTTTTGACATGGAAATCAGTAATTGGTAGCCTTTGAAAACGTCTCTGACTGGATTTTTATTCCTTTTTTCCCTTGGTGTCCACCTTGAGGAAGCACACTGGAGACAATCAGGAAAAGCCTAATATTCATGTCTTGACTTGGTGGGAGTGGTTGCTCATGGCATACAGCAGAAGGTGGCCCCTGGGTAGGACAGATCATGAAGTAACTTTCACAGAAGGACATAGCAGCTGCTTTCCCATGGGAGGAAGTGGGAAATGCATCCTAAATTAGACAGAAAACCAGTCAATGGGTTTCGTGGTTTGGTCCTGTGTAGCCTGGTGATTGTACACATTGTCCCGAGGCTCAGTGATGAAGAGGCACTGGGCCTGATGTGTGGGACAAGGGTGGATCTTCTCTCTGCCCCCTCCCAACTTTGTCTTTCAGATTGACTGCGCCAAACACCGATGTGTCGATGAAAGCGAGGGGCGTCTGTGGGCTGAAAGCAAGGGTTTCCTGTACTTCGAAACGTCAGCACAAACTGGAGAGGGAATCAGTGAGATGTTCCAGGTAAGCAGACATCCTGATCTAGCCATGCCAGTTTATAGTTAAGATCCCGAGGGGCAAAACAGTCATGGGACTTGGTCAAAGTGGAGAGGGAGAGGTGACGAGAGATGATTGACCTGTCTGCTCTCTATTGTAGGTCACCTGATGTCTTAGCTCCTGTTCCCATTACTGCCGTCAGATAACCTGTCAAAAGCAAGTTTAGGAACTCGAGGGGTTTATTGTAGGTCCCAGTTGAAAAGTACAGGCCGTTAACCCAGTCTAGAAAAGCCCTCATAAACATTCCACAGTGATTCTAATCCCAGCAAGTAGACGGTCAAAATGAACCTGGGGTAATTTTGCAACACACAATGTCTGCTTCAGACCTCTGGAAACCTCAAGTTGCAATGGAGTCTAGGGATATTTTACTTTTATTTTGTTTGAGACAGGGTCTCACTATGTAGTCCTGGCTGTCCTAGAACTCACTATGTAGACCAGGCTAGCTTTAAACTCACAGAGGTCCACCTGCCTCTATCTCCTGAGTGCTGGGCTCAAAGGCGTGCACCACCACCCCTGACTAGAGCCCAGGAATTTGTACCTTGAAAAAACACTCCAGGTGATTCTGGTGGTCATCAGGTTTAAGCAAGTTACTGTGCTACTTCACTGGGATGAAGATTTTTCTTCAAAACCATCTTTGGATAGTGGTGTTGCATTCATCTGAAGCCTTGCTGTAGCAAAATTGCCTTGGCACACGAAGGAATCTAACCCTGTACTCACAGAGCAGCTCACGGAGGTCACAGTTAGCTTAGGAGACCATCATTGCAGAATCCAGGGGTCGTGCATAAAAGTCCAAAAGGCAATATAGAAGGACGTGCTCACATGGCAGCCTGAGAAGGTGTTCATTTCTTGGTGTGTGTGTGTGTGTGTGTGTGTGTGTGTGTGTGTGTGTGTGTGTGTGTGTGTGTGTGTGTTCATGCATTCATGCATGCATGCAAGTGCATGGGCTTGAACATATGTGTATAGGTGTACTCGCAGGTGTGCAGAGGTAGATGTCAAGTGTCTTTCTCTCTTGCTGTTCACCTTTTGAGCCGGTGTGTCTCCATGAACCTGGAGCTCGTCAACTATCTAGATTGGCAGCCACACAGAACCAGGATCCATTTGTCTCTTTTCCATCTAGTGCTGGGGCTGTGGGCACCAGCCACTGCTCCTGGCTCCCTAGCCCCAGATGTCACTTCTTTTGGAACTCGCTCTCTAGACCAGGCTGCCTTTGAACTCACAGAGATCCGCCTGCCCCTGCCTCCCGAGTGCTGGGATAAAATATGTACACCACCACTGGCTTCCAGATGTCACTTTTTTTTTTTTTTTTTAAAGATTTATTTATTTATTATGTATACAGCATGTATGACTGCAGGCCAGAAGAGGGCGCCAGATCTCTCATTGTAGATGGTTGTGAGCCACCATGTGGTTGCTGGGAATTGAACTCAGGACCTCTGGAAGAGCAGTCAGCGCTCTCAACCTCTGAGCCATCTCTCCAGCCCCCAGATGTCACTTTTTAAAGCCATTAAGTTTGTATAATTTAAGGGATGTAGCTACTTAAAACACTAAGTAATAGAGTCAGGGCTTGATTATAGATCCATTTGGAAATGGTGGTGTGAATAAACTATTTTTCTTCTTGTGACTGTGTCTGGCGTTTGAGGAATTTTCAGCCTTTCAGATAGTATAGCTATCCTGCACAGAGTCGTCTTCATTGCTGGGCGGGGTTGTACTGATTCTGTCTCTGGATTTCCTTCTCATAAGAGGCCACTCCTCCTGGAAGACCAGTGCCATCTTGACTGGCAGGGTGATGCCAGTTTGCTGTGCTTCCTATTCACTTGAGCACGTTGGTCTGTGTGTGTGCCTTATCTGTGATGCACAGCCACTCAGGTAACCTGACAGTTCTGGTATTTACACGTCTCACCTTATTTGAGATGTGTGACAGTGTGGGGCGGCTGTTATTTTTGTCTCACATATAAGAGTATCTCAGGGAGTGAGTGCACTGACTGTGAGAGACCACACTTCTCTTTTCTTCTAACTCAGTACTTTAACGGTACATTATTTGTGATCCTTTGATACACGTATACAATGCTTCACTATACAAATCAGGGCAATTGGCATCTTCATGCTGGGAGACCGTGCTGGTCAGAGACTGACTGTGCTGGTCAGTCTACCATGGCCTGGCAGCAACATGGACAACTCCATCTCCCGGGTAGAAGGTGTCGTATTCTCTACCCGGCCTTATTTGGAGACCGTCTCTTGGCCTGGTGACTGACTTATCTCCAGTGGGACCCTGGACACAGCTCCCTGCGAAAGCTTTCCCCTGCTTCCCATGTGGTAATGAGACATTGTGCTCGGAGCTTTACGGTAGGACCGCACTTCCACAGATGACAACTAAGACTTGTATTAGGAGCCTAATGATAGGGGTGTGCTGTCTAATGCAAATTAGGTGATTCCCCAGCTACCCAATCCTATATATCCCCTATACTGTGGAATAACGTTGAGTTGACTCACTGAAAAAACAAAAAAAAAACCTTCATAGATTGAATTCCATTCTCTCTGGCCTCTGTGTGTCTCATAAGGTGGAAGCCATGTTCACACTCTAATGTCTCTGTCCATATTGCACGTTTTTCCATTTGTGGATGCTTTGGAGAGTCTGTTTGCAGCAGCTGGGCTATGCTGAGGTGTGCCTCTCTTTATATGTATCCTACCTGGGATTTGTTCATTTCTGAGATTGCCTGGTACCCACAGAGGTCAGAAGAGGGTGTTGGGTCCTCTGGAGCTGGAGTCACAGGCAGTTGTGAGCTGCCTTGTGGGTGGGAATCAAACCCAAGTCCTCTGCAAGAGCAGCACATGCTCTTAACTACTCTAGCTCCCCCCACACACATTAAAAAATCACTTTTATATAAAGGGGAGGTATTTTTCATCAAATACGGGGAGTCTTTTGCTTGTTTCTTTTTGGGGTGTGTGTGTGTGTGTGTGTGTGTGTGTGTGCACGCGCGCACATATGGAGGCCAGAGGACAATCTTGGGTGTCATTCCTCAGGTGCCATCCCCTGGTTTTTTGAGACAGGGTCTGTCACTGGTCTGGGCCTCCCCAATTCCCCTAGGCTGGCTGGCCAGAAGCCCCGGTAGCCACCTGTCTCTGCCTTCCAGTGCCGGGTGACAGACACACACTCTGTGTGCAGCATTTTAAAAATGGGATCAAACTGAGGGCCCCATGCTGTGCAGTGGGTCCTACCAACCAAGCCTTCTCCCCAGCCCCTTCTTTCTTGGATTTTCAAGACAGGGTTTCTCTGTGTAGCCCTGGCTGTCCTGGATCTCCCTCTGTAGACCAGGCTGACCTTAAACTCACAGAGATCCACCTGCCTCTGCCTCCCGAGTGCTGGGATTAATTCGTGTGCCACCACAGCCTGGCTGTTCCCAGCCCTTTTTTTAAAAAAAAAATTTATTTTACTTTATGTATGAGTGTTCGCCTGTTTCCTATGTGTACCATGTGTTTGCCTGGTACCACAGGGCAGAAGAGGGTGTGGGGTCCCCTGGAGCTGGAGTTGCAGGCAGTTGTGAGCTGCCGTGTGGGTGCTGGGACCCGAACCCAGGTCCTCTCAAGAGCAATCTCTTCAGTGCCCAAATAAGATATTTTTTAAAGATATATTAATATATTTTCCTTTAATTCTTTTGGGGTATTTTCCTTTATTTCCTTTACAGTATTTCTTACAGCTAGCTGTTGTGAAGTCTACCAAGTTCAGTATTTGAACCAGTGTGGGGTCAGTTACTGCTGACTGTTTTCCCCGACATCGGTCATGTTTTCTTGTTTCTTTGTGTGGTAGCGATGTATTGATTGGGTACCACATCTGTGGAGAGTGCATTGTAGAGACCCTGCAGATTTCTCTGTCTTTTCCAGAATGACGCTTCTTGTTGCAGGAGGCAGATTGCAATGAACTTGTGTAAGCTTGCAGTTTTGCTTAATGTCAGAGATCTGAAGGAAGCCCAAAGTGTTTCTTAAACCTTCTGATTTAGCAGGATTCAGCTTCCAAATTCTGCCTCTTGGCTTTGGGTGTAGTTAGGGTGGGTGAAGTTCTTAAGGTACAGCCTTTCTGTGGTGCCCCAGGGGGATTTCAGGAGTGTTGATTAGGTCTTCTGGGAAGGCCAAGCTCAGGTGTCTTGGGCTAGCTCTTCCCCTAGAAAATAAGGATTGTATTCTCAGCTCCTGTCTGGCAAGCTTCAGGTGACCTTAATCTTCATATGAGTAACCTAGTTATTAGCTACAAACCCACAAGGAAGCCCCACCTAGAGTGGGCCCAGCTCTGCCCAGCTCCCTTCTGCCCAACAGTTTGCTCTGCTGATTCTTGTCCCTGCTGTAGCCTTAGACTCTGGTCTCTGCCTCTGCCTCCTTCTCTCAGTGGGGCTTTGTGTCTGCACGCTCCAGATACGGCCTCTAGGAAGAGAGTTCCTGCTCGCCTCTCAGTAGCTCATGCTTGCTCCTGTGCCTTTGTTCTGTTGGATGGTTGACAGGAGATCTGGTCTAGCACTGTGCATGGGATGGATGGAGCTAAGACCTGAGTGTTACCACTTCGACCTCACGCCTCCTGGGACGACTGTGGCTGGTCTACTGTCACCACGAGTGCTAATAACTACCTGTGCCCACAGAATCTATATATTTCTATTTCACGTTAATCCCAGGCAATGTCAACCCTAACCCTAGTGATGTTTGTGAACTGTGACCCTTCTTGGTGCTTTTATCCTTTGGCTGCTTCTTGGTAGACATGATGGGTAGGCTGACAAGAAGAGACAGTAACACTGTACTGTAGGTAAGCCTGGGTGACTCGGTTTGATAAACATTGTCTTGATTTCCTAACGCTTAACGGAGACTTTGTGCCAGCAGGAAGGTGGTTTTGTCTGTTCTGACTCTGCTAGCAAAGGTAATCCTAAGATCATACACGTGAACCAGCACCCCTGTGGTCCTGTTCTGGTGGCTTTTCCCATGATGCTCTTTCTTTCCAGATGTCAAGTTTCTTGTTAGGATCCCAGTCATTTGCAGTTCCCGGAAATGAGAAAGAGGAACATAAGGGAAAGATACATTATTTAAAGATTTCTTTTAGTTATGTGTATGTGTTTTTGCATGTGATGTGAGGAGGCCAGAGGCATCAGTCGTAGGCAGTTGTGAGCCATCTAGCATGGGTGCGGGGAGCCAAACTCTGGTCCTCTAGAAGAGCAGTGCACGCTTAAGTACAGAGTTCTCAGCCCCAAAGATACATTTACAGAAGGAGACAAAAGGCGCTGTTGAAGAATCTGAAAGAGAGGAAGATATTTCAAGAGAAACTAAGGGAAGAGGAAATACATCAATTAAAATAGTTCTAGGCACTGGGAGTGCACAGTACTTGCTTAGCATGAGGGGAGTGGAGGAAGGGAGAGAGAAGGGGAGGAGAGGGAGGGGAGGAGAGGGGAGAGAAGGAGGGGAGGGGAGAGAAGGGGAGGAAGGAGAAGGAGGGGAGGGGAGAGACTCACTCTACTTACAATTACAGAAAGGAGGCTCAGAGGTTAAGAGTACGTGTTGTTCTTGCAGAAGACTCAGGTTGAGTTCACCGAGGAACACACTGCAGAGCTGCACTGGTAATGCACATCCGTCATCCTAGCACTAAGTGGCAGAGACAGGGGGATCATGAGTTCAGTATCACCCTGTGCTGTGTAGCTAGTTCAGGGCCTGCCTAGGCGGTGTGAGACCCTGTCTCCAAAAACAAAAACAAAAGCAAAAAAACAAATGGATTCAATACTGTCTGCAGTGACCAAAAGACTTAAAATAACAGTCTAGTCCAGGAATAGGGAATTAAATAAACAGCCACATAATAGGATACTGGAGTCACTAGAGAGCAAAGAGGGTCTGTAAATGTAAGACGTTTCCAAGGCAGATCTAGGGATTGAACCCAGGTCCTTGCTCAGGCTAACCAGTCACTCTGCCACTGAGCTGATCCCAAGTCTCCTTTTTACTTTTTGTTTTGAGACTGGGTCTCATTAAGTTACTGAGGCTGGTCTTGAACCCTCTCTGTAGATCAGGTAGACCTTGACCTCCTGCTTCTCCTGCCTTCGACTCCCAAGTAGCCGGGATGACAGGTATGCATCACCAGGCCCGCACAAGGTGTGTCCTGTGGGGAGCTGCAAGCTGCTAAGCATTGTTCCGTGTAAATGATTGTGTGCTTGTGTACGACATGTGCTGTAGCAGATGTTTCTGTAGGGATACTAAATATGCTAATGTGCCTACATCAGGGAGAAAGTTTTGAGAGTTTACTGTTGGATTTTTAACAGTGTTCATCTATTACCAACCGCAAATGTGCTTCTCTGAGAGCAGAATTATGAATCATTCTAATTTTTTAATTAAAAAAATACATTTTAAGTTGGCTTATACTTTGCTGTTTTAAAAATATGTAGTTAGGGGGTTGGGTAGTGCACTAAGGCCCTGGGGTCTGTCCTCAGTGCCAAGGGAATGGATATAAAAATGTAGTTCAGTCATGTGAGAAAAATTTTCCAAGTGAAGTGTATTACTCCTGACTTTTAAGAGTAAAAAAAAAAACAAAAACAAAACAAAAAAACAAAAACCAAAAAAGAAAAAGAATAAAAAAGTACTTTCATGCCGGGCGGTGGTGGTGCACGCCTTTAATCCCAGCACTCGGGAGGCAGAGCCAGGCGGATCTCTGTGAGTTCAAGGCCAGCCTGGTCTACAGGGTGAGTTCCAGGACAGCCAGGGCTTTTTCACAAAGAAACTCTGTCTCGAAGAAAAAAAAAAAAAAAAAAAAGTTACCGACTGTGTGAGAGGAACTCTTAGTTCACAGAATCACTTCTCTGGGATGATGTGTTTTCTCCCTGCAGACCTTTTACGTGTCCATAGTGGACTTGTGTGAAAATGGCGGGAAGCGCCCTACTGCAAATAACAGTGCTAGTTTCACCAAAGAACAAGCAGACACCATTCGCAGAATCCGAAACAGTAAGGACAGTTGGGACATGCTGGGAGTCAGACCTGGGGCCTCCAGGTAAGCAGGTCTAGGGTGCCTGGTGCGGCGTTCTGGAAGAGCCGAGGCTCTGTTGCCTAAAGTGCTATGCCATCTTTCTTCTTCTAAGTGACTGGACACTCGAGGGTGTGTGGAAATGAGTTTCACGAGGACTCTGCCCCACTAACAACACAGGAATAAAACAGAAGGCCCGTTGCCTCCTGAGCGAGCTGGGCCGTGTTTGCGTAAACACTTGATGAAGTGGCTTGTCCACCTTCGACTGTAACCTTAGAAAACTTTACAAAAAATAATTCATAAATCACAGACTTGTAGAAGAAGAAAGATTTTTCAACGTGCTGTCTTTGCCTGGGGAAACTGGTGTTCAGTGAGGGACCCTGAGGCCCCAGCAGACAGTGGTTCCTCTCAGCCCAGGAACACCGTCGGCCCAGCTGCCTTTCTCATACACCCTGCTCGTTCCCAGCTGTGACTGGGTAATGTGTAGTTACCTGCTTTATTCAAAAGATTTATTTAGGAAGAGCTGGGCATGGCGGTTGAGGAAGAAAACGTTGGCTCTTTATTGATTGTGGTTATCTAGACTACCACAGCTCTGGTAAATTCCAGAGCCGCCGAGATTTCTGTTTCTATCAAATGGCAGAGATAACTGTGTCTATCAAATGACATTGGCACATTTGGGACAAATCCTTGAACATTATAGTGTTAAGTTCTAGAAAATTCTGGTACTTGCTTGGGGCCAAATGTGCTTACAGTTCCTGAACTTTCCGTCTGTAGGTGGCACACTGTTGACACACACACCTGCACCAATCTTGTTTCTCCCAGAACTTTCCCTTGAGAGTCTTTTCGGTGCCTGTTAATTTTGAAAGGCTCTCAGTGCAGGGGCCAGGCGTAACACTGAGCCCATCTAGACATGCTCCCCAAATCAGTGGCTCCCTTGGCTCTGCCCCAGACTCCATCTTGGAGAAGGAGGGGATGTGTACTCACCTCAAGGACACAGGGTCTTTGGGTAGATACAAACTCTGGCCATCTAATTTCTTCCATGAAGGGGAATGCCTTTGATAAGCAGTACCAAGACTGCATATGTAGGGGCTGGGAAGATGGCTTAGTGGATAAAGTGTTTGCTACATAAGACCCGACTTTGCACTCCAGCACTCATACAAAAGCCAGGCATGTCAGCATATGCGAATTCTAGTTTGGGGAGGGCAGAAACAGGTGAATCCCTGGAGCTCCCCAGTCACCCAGTGTAGCTAAAACAGCCATGTTGAGGCTTAACAGACCCGACTTAAAGAATAAGGTGGGGAGTGATAGAAGACAGCTGGCATTGACCTCTGGCCTCTAGGTATTCACACACACACATACAGACACAGGCACACACCACACAAACACATTGCATAGAAAAGACTACATATTGCATGTGTAGAATACAAGATGCATCCGGGCGGTGGTGGTGCACGCCTTTAACCCCAGCACTCAAGAGGCAGAGTCAGGTAGATCTCTGAGTTCGAGGCCAGCCTGGGCTACAGAGTGAGTTCCAGGACAGGCTCCAAAGCTACATACACAGAGAAACCCTGTCTCGAAAAACCAAAAAGAAAAAAGAAAAAAAAAAAAGACTATAACATACAAAGCTAGAACAGGAAAATTCAGAAGGCCTCATCCAGCAGCAGGTAGAGCTCTGGCATGTATGCCTAAGACACAGGGACTTACTGCTGCGACCCCAGACCTTGGTCTGTCCAAATGGACACCAAACTTTGTACCATCTCCAGGTCAGCAAGGGGCAGCTCTGTAACGGGGAGAGTGCTTTGAGAAGTCCTTCCAACAGAAACGGGGTGAAGGCACCTGACGGCACCATGCCATGCTGACAGGGTCGCAGGCGCTCTGATGACAGAAGCTTGGGAAGTAAAACCATGTGGTGGGGACAGAGCCTGACACCTGAGGGTGGCTAGGAGTGGGGATGGCGAAGGAACCTGTCGTCTCCAGCCCTCTCCAGCCCATCCATCCCGCAGCTACTCCTTCATCTTCAGCTGCTGCCACTGACTGGTGTATGCGCTCTCTTCCCTTGGCTGTTCTCACGGACGCCTCCATCTGAACTGGCTATGTGCTAATCTGCCTGTCTCTCAACTTTGAGAAACAGCTTTCTCAGTGCCTGTTGCTGCAGAATGCCTACTGCTGTGACTGTCAGTCAAACCCAGTGTTTTCCTTGTTTTGCTTTGGAGGCCATACATCTGTTCTCTGCTCCAGGCCTCTCTGCCAGTTCCTCCCTGGCTTTCCAAATCCTCCACCCTGTGCTAATCACAGGCCCCTCTTCTTCCAGAAGCTTCTCCCGAGGGATTTTCCCAGGGAGGAAGGCTCTCATCCCTTCAGTTAGTGAAGGCTTGCTCTTGCCCTTGAGTGTGTAGAGCTGCCTGGCGGCAGATGGCACTTTTTGGACTGACTTCTAGACTCACTTACAACTGTGTTTTTCTTTTCTTTTCTTTTCTTTTTCTTTCTTTCTTTCTTTTTTTTTTCCGGAGCTGAGGACCGAACCCAGGTCCTTGCGCTTGCTAGGCAAGCGCTCTACCACTGGGCTAAAGCCCCGACCCCCAACTGTGTTTTTCTATAGGGCCTGTGTTTGTTTGTTGTTTTCTAGTCTTTTATCCTGCCTTTGAGAAAAGGAAATGATTGCATGGGAGATGCGTAGTAGTGCGTCCAGAGAGCTGGGATGCGGGATTTGGGGCCAGCCTGGTTACTGACAGAGCTCGGCTGCTTTTTGCAGGGAGGAAGTCAATAAGGCCTACCGGAAGCTGGCTGTGCTGCTTCACCCCGACAAATGTGTTGCGCCCGGCAGTGAAGATGCCTTCAAAGCGGTTGTGAATGCCCGGACAGCCCTCCTGAAAAACGTCAAGTAGAAGGCAGAGGAAGCGACAGGCGACCTCAAGTGCAGACTCCCCTGAGGTGAAATAACCAGCGTGGATTTTTCCTTCCCAGATGCTCACCGTTCGGTTCCCTCATGTGCTGTCATTTGTGAGTTAATAGTGTGGGTGCCTGTACCATGTTGTGGGCCTTTCGCAATGAGATGACCTGCTTTTGTGTGAGGGAGAGCCCCACGTCTCCTATGCACTGCATTTCATTTCTTATTGCCAGATAACTCAGTGTTTGTAATTGTGGCATCGCTTAGGCATTGGCTTCTGAGAGTCCGTGGGGCTTCTAGAGACGGGGAGGGCAGCAGGACGCTTTGACTCACCCGCCTCTCCTCCCCCCGACCCATCCATCCATGTACCATCATAGAGAAGGGAATAAAAACAGAAAGGAGAACGACAGGGGTGAGTGGACGGCACCCCGCCCCAGGAGTTTAGCATCCCCGCTTCTTGTCTATAGTTAGAGTCAAGCACGGTAGCATGTGCCTATAATCCCAGCACTCAGGAGGATGAGGCAGGAGGATTGTGAGTTTGAGGCCAGTCTGGATTATATGCGAGACTCTCTCAAAGAAAAAAAGGAAAAACAAGCACCCTTGAAGAAGAATGTAAAGTGAGTTGACACTGTTCTGTCGGCCTGCCCTTCTAGGACATTCACTCTGTTCCCTCTTCAGCCAGCAGGGGGAGAGACGAGCCAGCGCTGAGAGAGAAAGGTAGTGTCCTCAGGAGCTGGGGACCCTGAAGCCTGCCCTGGATCCTAGGTCTTGGCTCTGCCCTAGTAGCAAGCAGCAAGGAGTGCTGTGCCTCTGGGGAACGAGGGACCAGAGGCCAAGACAGAATCACTGAGAAGGCGTGCTGTAGATTACTCGGGAGTGTGCACTCAGCCACACCACACAGGGAAAGGCCAGCTGAGCTCGGGTGTGTTGGGCACCAGGAGGGTCCCTCCAGAAGACTTGTCCCTCTCCTTGTTCCTCACCACAGGTGGTGGGAGAGGCAGGCAGGCACTCTTCCAGAAGCAGGTCTCTTTCTTGGGCACCAGTGTTAATCCTTTTCTCGCCCAGCTCTATTGTTACGCCCCACATCCGCCATCACCTCTCTCCTTGAATCCCTAGCGTTGCCCGAGGCTCAGCTGACTTGAAATAAGTATGACCTGTTGGGGGCACAGTGGGACATCCTGAGCCTGGGTAGGGCAGAATCTCTACAGTTTCTGCTTGGGCTCCAAATTTCTGAAGAGATTGTTAAACTATGAGTTTGAGAACTCGTTTCACATAGAGACACATTCCTCAGGCCGTTGTCCCTGCCTGGTCTGCAGGATGGGGCTGCGTTTCTCACAGCGTAGGGGAGCTGGCTCGTGGCTTGACTCCGGTCCTCATTCCTAACTGTGTCACTTGTAGTTTTAGCTGCTGCCACCTGCGCTAACTGGAGTTTTGAAGGACACAAAACTGTTACTAGACTGTGACCTTTAAACACCTGTCCCATAATGGTTGCCAGATAACATCTTTCTCACCTAAGAAGCCAAGCCACTGCAGGCTTCTGGATTATTCCCTCCACCATAGTAGCCTCACTTTGTATGGCTGTGCTCAGCTGTACTGAGCTTAAAAGTGTTGTCCTTCATGAATTCAGATCTGTGTAAAAAAAAAAAAAAAAACGATAAAGAGGTCTGGGATGTGGCTTTATGATTTCTTCTGGTCCGAGAACTCCACTCAAGGTTCTTGTGGGCCTCACTTCTGCTTGAGGCTTCCTTCATGCCTCATGCACCCCACTGCCCAGCTGCTCTTGGACAGAAGGTGGAGTCACGTGGATGAGGGATCATGCTTGGGGCTGTCAGCCCGAGAGTGGGGCCCAGTCTTCGACACGGTTGTTAAAGACATCTGTTCAACACCATGGGCAGATGAACAGTCACAGCAGGACACTTGAGTGTTCCCTTTCGGGTCCCTCAGAGTGACTTGCTGAAATGTAGCCTGGGCTTGCCTCTTAGATCTTGAGACTCTGTTTCTAAGACCTTACTAACATTTAGGGTGGCTGTATTCTACTTTATATATGTTGATGAGATGAGAAGGTTGAGCCTCAGGGTTCCTGGGTTTTCTGATTTCTACAATCCAGCAGCAGGGCTTTAGAACCATCGAAGCATGCCTCAAAATGAGCCTTAGCTTCTTGAGACCCCGTACAGACCCCTGCGTTCATTCCAGTTCTTGGAACAGGTGTGGGCTTTTTCCTTCATGCTCTTTACAACTCTTTACCCAGTTAAGATCTCAGAGTATCAGCAGGAGTCGCAACTCAGCCACTTCAGCAGCTGAAAACTTTGATAAAGGACCTCGTGTCCCCCAAAAGGGATAAACATTTGACCAGCTGTTAGTAGAGAAAAGCCATGTCTTCTGCATCGGAGTCATCAACAAGGGTCACTTCCTCACCTTGTTGGAAATCCCTGGTGCATCTCAGATCACTCCTCCAACCATCTGCAGTACTTTCGAAACCCTCTCCTTTCGCGTCAGAGCCGTCTCTCCTTGGTGCCTCCCCAGGAACGGCCCTTCTCCACTGTCAGCATCTCTTACTTAAGCACTGCCACTTTATTTCTCCATTTCAATGTGTCCTTGGTTTTACCAGCCTGTTAACTTAAGAGTCCAGATGTTGAGGATAGAATCGCTGGCATCCTGTAGACTACACCATTCTTTAAGGCTTGTATTTACCTCAGGAAACTTATTCTCGTATGCTCTCACTGGTTGAACTCTCAAGTGATAAATACGTCTTTATACCTGCAAACTAGTTCTTAGTTCAGTGAGCCATAGGTCGGGCAGCTGGATGGTCAGTGAGCCATAGGTCGGGCAGGTGGATGGTCAGTGAGCCATAGGTCGGGCAGCTGGGTGGCCGAAAGCTCATCAGAGTAAAGCAAGGAGTGCCTGCCAGCTCTGAATCAGGGACAAGTGGCTAGTCCACCTAGAGTGGCAGCCGTCACCAGGAGGACGAGGGGACTGCCTTTGGCAGGGACAGTGCCCTCTTCTAGGTCTGGAATGGCACTTCCCTCGCACTGCAGGCCATGGAGCTGAGTCCCCCAGCACTTCTGGAAAACTTTTGAAAATGAATTTAGTTGTAAAATCAAGCTAAGCAATTTCCACTGCAGGCCACACAAGCAAGGCGCTGTTCCTCCTTCTCCTCCTGGTGCTGAGCACAGTTTTAGACACGGGTAGTGCCCCTGGTGCTGAGCACAGTTTTAGACACGGGTAGTGCCCCTGGACGTGGGTTGTGCCATTCACTGTCCCTGGGGAGGATGACTGTGTTCACTTGTGGTGTGGGCGGACAGTGGCTGTGTCTGTCACACAGTGCGGTGCCGAGCTGACTGCTCAAGGCTTTTGGTGGAAGGCCTGTGCCTGGAAAGTTGGGCAGCCTGGGTTAGTCCCCTGCACCGATTGCTCTCTGCACATTCTTTCCCTTGACTGTGACTGCTCTTACAAAGTAATTTACATATTTGCTTTCTGTTGAAATAACTGAAAGTGTTCCAACTACCAGTTGTTTATGTCTTGTATACAGAGTGTCATATGGATTTAAGTTGTGTATTTTTATAGAGTAAAGTCAAATAGCAAACCCTGGTCTGCTGGCTGCCTTGATTTGTTGAGACCCTGATCTTCAGTGTAAACTAGACTAAACAGGAATCCAGTTCCTCATCAGCAAGACATGCTGCTCACCATAATCCCAGCACTCAGGAGGCTGAGGCAGGAAGATCATGAGTTTGAAGCCAACTTTGGTCACAAAGAGAGACCAAAAGACTATCTCAAAAACATGAGCCAGGTATAGTGATACGTGCCTGTAGTCTACCCCAGCACTCAGGACAAGGGGATCATGGAGATCCTGGTCTGTATAGCCAGTTTCAGGACAACCAGGCTATACAGTGAGACCCCACCTCAAAAAACAAAGCAAAGAAAAGCAGAGAAAGACCTCTTAGGACTCCAATGAGAAAAATGCAGAAAATTGTATTTGTTGGACCCGTAGGCCAGTCTGACTCAATTAGTGTGGCTTTGTAGCTCACATGAGACTGTTAACTCATTTTGAAATAGTACAGACCAAGCCAAAGTTGCAGCTCCGTGGGAAAGTCTGTGCTTAGAGGAAATGATGCCCTGGGTTCGATGCCCAGCAACACCCCCCCCCCCCCCTTACACACACACACAAAGTAGTGCTGAATGACTAACATAGTGAATTCAGTTAACCAAACCCTTAAGCTGAAGGATGGCATCACTGCAGTTGGAGAGTCTTGGAGGACCAGTCTGCAAGAAGCGGCCTGTCTCTGAAGGCTGCAGAGCAGAACTTTGCTTTTCATTCTCATGTAGACTGTGGTCTGCCTAGCATTCTAAGACCCCAGAAAATGGCCCCCCTCACTCTCAGAACTGCACATCTTGCAGACTTGTTCCAAGTGCCTCACTTCTTTTAGGACCCATCTGTCCTCCCTGGCCATAGAGATAAATCCGGGGGACAGGAATGTAACTCCCAGCCTCCCAGCTCAGGCAGTCAGCATGCTATGTTGTTATCTACATTGTGTGTGTGTGTGTGTGTGTGTGTGTGCCTGTGGTGCACATGTGGATGGGTACATGTATGCTGAGACTGAAGGTCATTGCCAGGTGTCTCTCTTTATCACTTTATCTTTTGAGACAGGCTCTGTCACTGGACCTGGAGCTCACAGATTGGGCTGCACTGGCTAGCCAGCAAGCTACACGGATTCTCCCAGCACTAGGATTGCAGGCATGTACTACCACACCTAGCTCCCCGCCCCCACCCCCCATATGGGTCCTGGGAATTGAACTCAGCTTTTATGGCAAACACTTTACTCCCTGAGCCATCCCCTCAGCCCTACTGCCTGCACTTGACAGATGAGAGAAACTGACTCAGAGGTTGATTTTCCCAAGGCCATATAGAAAGCCATTCAAACCCAAGGCTACGGGGTTTTAGAAGTCACACTCTAAATTGTACCTACAGACTCCTCAACTTACAAGGCTATATTCTGATTTTTAAGAATACCTTAAGCTGGCTGGGGAGATGGCTCATGGATAAAATGTTTGGTGTGTAAATGTGAAGACCCAAGTTCAAATTGTCAGAACCTATGTGTGGTGGTTTGAGTAAGAATAGCCCCCATTGTCGGGCGGTGGTGGCGCACGCCTTTAGTCCCAGCACTAGGGAGGCAGAGGCAGGCGGATCTCTGAATTCAAGGCCAGCCTGGTCTACAGAGGGCTACACAGAGAAACCCTGTCTCAAAAAACAACAACAAAAGAAGAGTCCCTAGAGGCTCATATCTTTGCTTGGTCATCAGAGAGTGATACTACTTGAAAGGGATTAGGAGGTGTGGCCTTGTTGGAGGAAGTGTGTCACTGGGGTGGGCTTCAAGGTTTCAGAAATTCAAGCTAGGCCCAATATCCCTCTCTTCCCGCTGCCTTTGGATCAGGATGTAGCTCTCGTTTTTTTCTCCAGCACCGTGTCTGCCTGCATGCCACCACGCTCCCCACCGTGATGACAGTGAACTCAGCCTCTGAACTGTAAGCCAAGCCCCAGTTAAATGCTTTCCTTTGTAAGAGTTGCTGTGGTCATGGTGTAGAACACTGGCTAAGACACAAGTTAAAGCTGGATATACAGTAGTGCAAATGTTCTATTGCTGGGAAGAGACACCACGACCATGCCAACTCTTACAAAGGAAAACATTTAATCGGGGCTGCCTTACAGTTCAGAGGTTCAGTCCATTGTCATCATGGTGGGAGTGTGGCAGCGTACTGGCAGACATGGTGCTAGAGAAGGAGCTGAGAGTTCTACATCTTGATCTGCAGGCAGCAGGAAGTGAACTGCCACACTGGGCGTGACTTGAGCATATATGAGCCCTCAGAGCCCACCTCCATGGTGATACACTTCCTCCAACAAGGCCACACTTCATAATAGTGCCGCTCCCTATGGGCCAGGCATTCAAACACATGAGTCTGTGGGGGCCATACCTATTCAAACCATCACAGTAAGTGTCCACAGTCTCCTACAGTGAGATGGGAGGTGGAGATAAGGGAGTCTCCAGAAGTTTGTGGGTGTGTGGCCTGACAGCAGCAGACAGACCCTGCCTTAGGACTAATGAGGCCTGTCATCTGGGGCTGCCCTCTGACCTGCACACGTGCATCATGGGTGTACCCATCCTCACACTCCAGGAACAGGCATCTTCATACACACAAAATATCCTGAGTCGAACACACATAACTTGTGGACCACATCCCACAATCGGGATTAGTCTGCCTGTGATCACAGATTGTTGGTGATGGACTGTATTCCCAGCTGCCTCCTAGCGTCACGAGAGGATTAGGCAGTATGGCTCCAGCCTAGGACAGGTTCAAAATGGAAAATTTGATGAAGTCCTCACTTCTATTGAACGTATCTAATTTTTGCACCATCAGGATGCGTGGAATCACAGACCATCCTCAGCAGAGGACCGTGTGTATTCTGACTCAGTAAGTAACATTCTGTTTGTATAGGTAACAAGCTACTGTAGCAGGAAGCCCGTACTTTTTTTTTTAATTCAGCACTACGACCAATAGTTTTTTCTTTTCAGTAATGGTCTAAATTCACATCCTTCATGGACACAGAACAATGACATAATCTGGTACTGAATAAGGCTCTTCAGCTTCCACATCGTGTGCCGTGCCGATCACCAAAACCAGTTATGGAAGAATGGCGACTTTATTCCCGAGCCTCCAGGCTTGTGGGACAGGAGGGCCAGTCTCAGCCCCCTGCCCTGGGGCTGTGCTTAGGGGTAGTTATAGACTGAGGTGTGGGGGAAGATGATTGGAGCAGTCGCTGTTACCATGGTAACCCTTGGGCGGAGGGGTTACCTACAGCTAACCCAGAGCAGGTGACTTAAGAGTAGGTGGCACATGTTAAGTCTGGAGAAGCAGGTGACGCAGCAAAGGAAATCTTGGGAGGTTTGTCAGGCGCCTGAACTAAGTGGAGTCCTTATAAACGTTTCCCTTCGGCTCAAAAAAGACAAACGTGTGTGGTATACCCGAGCCAAGATGGAGTGAGTCCATGTGATGGCCTTCAGTGAACTGTGTTAACATGCAGACCACGAGGGCTGGAGAGATGGCTCAGCCGTTAAAGGCTAGGCTCCCAACCAAATATACAGACCACAAAACATCATCCCTCTTTTTTTTTTTTTTTTTTTTTTTTTTTGTGAATGAAATTTTGAAGAAGCCCGCAGGGCCTCCGAAGCTTCCCAAATAACTCAGTCCCATCTTCCAGGTTGTCTGAGTCAGCCACTGGGGGGCGGGGCTTCCAAGAACTAAAGGGTGGCCCAGGGAAAATGGCCTTAAGTGATTCTCATGTCCCCAGTGTGTCCTTTTATCACAGTTAGAACCTAAGGCTCTGTGAAAGGGTGGTTTCCCTCCCCACCTCAGGAATGCTAGCACTTCATACATGAGGAAGGAGTGGCCGATGCTTGCTAACCTGAACCTTCAGGAGTGTGGTTTAGGGGGGTGGGGGTATTGTTTTCTTTGCCCTCTGCTTGGCTATTACTCTGTTTGAATTTTCTCCATGAAGGTGGATTCCTTCAGCTACGAGAAACCAAAAACTAAACAGAACACCAATTTTGGTGTTTTTTTTTCTGAAGGCTGTCTGTGGGACCTAAGGCATGCGGCAACTCCAGACTGTAATTAAATCTTGCATCTTTGCATAGGAGGAAACTTCAGACTAGAGAGGAAGAGGCTTTTAGCCACTTAGATTTTTTTTTTTTTTTTTTTTTTAAACCCTAACAGCTATCAATGCTCTGTGGCTGGAATTTCAAGTCCACTTAATGCAATTAGAATCCACAGACTCTCAGGTAACGTAGAAGCAGGAATAATGAATGGAAGGTTTGGTGTCTTTTCTCCTGCTAATTAATAGTGGTCCTGGGCAGGCTGGAGGGAGCTCCCTCTGTCTGACAGGCTGTCTGGTTTGATAACACTGGAGGTCCTTTGTAATGCTGGGTCTGGTGCTGCAGGCCAGACCTGTGTGCCCTACTCCAGAGGCTAAGTCAAGAGGATCTCAAGATCAAGGCCTTACTTGGACCATTTAGTGAGACCCTATCTTTAAGAAAAAAAAAAAATGTGGCGCACGCCTTTAATCTCAGGAGGCAGAGGCAGACAGATCTCTGTGAGTTTGAGGCCAGCCTGGTCTACCTAGTGAGTTCCAGGACAGCCAGGACTACATAGTGAGACCCTGTATCAAAAAACCCTAAAAATTATAATAGAAAAGAAAAAAAATATTTATTTATTTATTTAGACCAGGCTGGCCTTGAACTCAGAGAGATCTGCCTGCCTCACCTTCGCCGCCCCCCACCCCCAGTGCTGGGATTAAAGGTGTGTACCACCACCACCTGGCAAGAAAAATGTATTTTAACCAAATAGTGAACTCGGCTTCTCTGGCAGTTTGGAATAGCAGGCATTGTTGATGCCCTGTTCCTTGTCTTCATTAAATAAAACCCTTAAGCTCCCTGCGTGTAACTGATTCCAACATCTGGTTTTACAGAGGCCTGTGATGACTGGGCTGAACTTTCTGGTAGGCAGTGCAGCAGACTGAGGTGTCAGAACAGGGTCTCTGT